TGTTCGTAGGCCGGCCCGTCACGGAGGCCTGTCACCTGCGTTCGTGCGTCTGCGTTTGGCAACTCGCAAAGCGAGCAGTATCCAGTGGCACCGCGTGGAGGAGCAGACTTCACCACCAGTTAAGATGATTTGTTTCATTGAAATTATATAATACTTTGAGTTAACAATAATCTTAGGGGAGGAGTTACTATTATTGATTGACCAGCATGGCATGGAAATGAAAGAACGTATGTGCCTCATGAGGATCGCTCATCTTGAGACACATACCCGAACGACATGCTTTGAAGTTAAGCGAGACAGTGACCTGTCCTGGATAGTTCAGGTAGCGTTAATACTTGGCGACAGCAGCAGCGATCGCCGCGATCGCAAGTAGACTCCTTATCTCTGAGCCAGGGTAGGCGTGGCATTTGAACATGGCACGGAATGGGTTACTCGTGGAATATTCCAGTCTGGGACAACTGTCATCTTGTTCTGTGTTGGACAGAGACACGACAACAATTGTGTCAAGATGAAAATATCTCACCAGAAGCACGGTCACCTTAAGTTCAGCTGAGGCATGCAACCACGCCTACCCTTTGAAACGTGCAACCTCGCCCACCCTATCTCATGGATCTCGAGTATATCTAATCGAGCCCAAAGCCCAATTGTGTAGCCTTTCCTCCTTATTAATGGCCGAAACCTTGAAGTAATATCATCCGTATTTGAGGTGAGGCAAAGTGACATCGAGGAGCTTTTTTTCCCCATCCTCCTCTTGATTTCAGATAGAGGTAAAAATAATTTCATGGATGAGTTTCTTTTTGTTTCTTTTTTTCGCATTGTTCCAACTCATATGAGTGTTCCACAAGTCTCCAACGTTATAGAAGTTTGACTCAAACAAGGCGTAAAAAAAGGCGCTCACTCCCGAACTGGAGCACGAATTCGTTTAGAAACCATCAGCGAAGAGGAAACTTCTCAGTCACATGAATCGGTCCGAACAATAAAAAGCAAAATAATAAGCAACTTCTGCGCTTTCTGCTCCTTTTTATCTCAAATACAAAAAAAAATAGAAGGAAAACTCCCTATTGCTCCAGGTTCACCTTCGCTTAAATTCACAAAGCCGTAAGTTCTAACAATAAGGGAGCAATTATGAGGAACGTTTTACAATTGAATACATCAATACTGGCGGAGCGGTCCAATCTGTACAGTTAAAGGCAAAGTCCGCGATCATTCGCTATCACATATGGTGGACTAGGAGTTCGCATATAGACGACAAGGTTCTGAGTAACTCGATAGTGAAGAAAAAAGCAGAAAAAAACATGCCAACTGCCCTAAATAGAACCCCATTCCAGTCACAGTTTGTACGTGCCCAGTTAACTCCATCTCTAACACTACGCCCTCATCGGCACAGCTGATTCCCGATGAGAACGCTACGACCGTACAATACAAATGGTCGTTTACGACAGTAGAACGGTACGACCGTAAATGACGATTTTCATGGTTTTTTTTTCGTCCTGCAGCTTCGTTTTTCACTGAAAGGCCGGTCTGGAGGGCGGAGACTGGAGGCGGAGTCACTGAACCTATATTGCGCTATAGCGCCCCTCCCTTACAATTTTTTGCCGCGAAACCGGTACAAGGTTGTTCGTCGTGGCCCACACTACCCTCCGACGCCATATCTTCAACTTCTATACCTGATCGCGGACCGTACCTTTAAGTCGCGCTCGGTTACCAATGCTGCGACCGCGGCTGCAATCGCAAAGCATGAATGCTGCCTTAGACAACGTCAGAACATGACTTCCTCCCTGTCCTTTTTCCCTATACAGCAAGACGTCACAAAGCATGGAGATTCTAAGCCTCGCTCGAAACTTGTCCGTTTTGAAGCACATAACACTCCAGTTGAGTAGCATGATATGACTGCTGAAATTTTCATCTTTCCCTTCTTTCCACTCTCTACAAGGGCTGAATGTTTCTACGATCATCGATTGAACAGAAATTTTATTCAGAACTTTGCTATGCATCAAACAATGTAATAATTTGCTTATGATTAGAGCCAGAAGAGTTGATAAACTCTAGAGGCACAAAACAAAAATATGTCGCAACGACCCGCGCTATACGTAAACAAAGAAGAATTCCCATAACATAAAACGAACTGCAAATCTGCAACAATAGAGAAACAGAAAACGAAAGGCACAAAACGATAATTGACCGAAGCAAGTTCACACGTATTCAAATTTGTGATAAATGTTGTTGTATGGTATCGGAGTGGTTGGACCACTTGGCGAAGGCAATTGCGATGACGGCGTGTAGGATTGCATGGAAGGCCGTGGAGATATTATTGGAGGAGGAGGAGTGGTTTCTGTGAACGCCAGATTGTTCATTTTTCGAGTGAAATACTCGTCGCTCAACGAATCGACGACATCCAGGACTTCCTGAATTGAAAAGTTACAGATAGAGGAAGACGAAACAGAAATGTGGAAAATAACCTGTCTCGTTTTCCCATGGAAAGCAGCAAGCTGGACGAGTTCACGCAAGAAGTCATCATGTGGTGGAGGAACAGATGGCACACGACGAGAACTGCTAAATTACCCAGTAATTATAGCTGACGACGATGTAGTGGAAATTAAACATCAACTGGTTCACAAGAATGCTGAGTTATGGGCAAAAGTCGTGCCCCAGGCGGGAGTCGAACCCGCACCTCACGCTTTCCGGGCGAGTGCGCTATCCGTTACGCCACCAGGGCCGCTTTTACCCTCTCAGCTTAACGGCTTATGCCGTAACCTTACAGCACTCACACGTTTAACTTGGTGAGCCGGTCAGCCGTAATCGTTAGATATCGGCAATGAACAGCGGCCGAAGGCTTTACAAGTTTTTGAAGCTGTTTTGTTATGATAACTGCTGTTTAACGCCATATCATAACAAATCAACTGCTTCATTGTGCACAGTTAAGCGAAGGTATCGCAGTGACAAAAGATTCCACGACCATAACGGATTAGTGAATCGTATCACACAAAGGCCACTCTCTCCACTCGACAGCCCTGGTCAACTTTCAGGAAGTTTTTAGCGCTGTAGAATCAATAAAATCTACCTCTGCAGGAAATTGCAGGTCTCATACACTTCAAACGAAAGGCCACTCCGAGGCTCGATCCGATTAATGCCTCCCTCCTGCGTTTTTACAAACTTTCAACTTTTTGCTCCCATCCACCCTGCCCTATCTTCCCTCCCACCTTTTCACTATAATGCGACAGATGGACGGCCATGCAGCAGTGACGAGCGGCACTTCTAACTTATATATGTATGGTCCTAAAATCGGATAATACCTCGAATAATACCTAGGCCCTCCCCCCTCGAATCTACAATCGTCTTCGCTAAGGACGCTGGGGTGTGACAGGGGGCTGGGCACAGTGCTTCGCCATCCCAATCTCCACGCGGGTAAGCGACAACAATCAGTGAAAAACCGGGCTGACGTAGCTCACGGAACTCCTGAAACGTCCCAGCAGCGTAAAAAATTACATATGGGGACGTGCTAACAAGGTCACACGATGACCTCAGCAAAGCCCTGAGCTTTGAAGACCTGGATAAACGATCACAAGAAGCCCTCAAGAGGGAGGGGAAGTTTATCAGGAAGGACATCACTCAATTCAAAACCTTCCCAAAAAAAACTTAAGGAAAAAGGCGACCTCTAGCTGGAGCAGCAGACCCCATAACAGGGAGAAAAAGAAGGGTAAGGTTGGTTTTGGTTCTTCAAATGGATCTTGTCCGAGAAATTTCATAAGAAGCTTTGCCAGATGGAACGCGTAACGAGGTTCATCTCTGCTTTCTCGCAATGTTTCAACGAAGTTTTTCCGACGCTCACCTCTCTACGTCCACTTCGAGCTGGTCTGCCGACGGCGGCTTCACTTTGCATGTGACCACAGCGATTCGCATTGCCGTAAACCTGAAAAGGAAAACGATTTCTCTATGCAGAACTGTGGAAAAATTCTGAGAGCATCCAGCACCTTATATGCTGCATAGCGGCAATGTCCCCGCTATGGGTGACGTTGCTGGAGATGTCACGACTTCCTTCCGCTCCACTGCCTACTTCCCCTTCACCCAATTGCGCTAGTACCTCGGTGATTCGAACTACTTGATGCGATGCATTCAATATGTATTTCACCTGAACAAATTGCTTCAGGCTGACTGTCAGAATGAGCGGCGTCTTAAATTTCGACCTACCTTTTCAGCATCAGCAATGTCCCTCAAATAGTCTTTTAGGCATTTTGTTTGCAACTTCTTCAAATCGAGCGGCTCGAGGTGAATCGGACGAGTTGCTCGGTGATCCAACGTATGCGCCGTTGATTTGACGGTGAAACAAATTGTTCCTGAACATTTCCACATTGCATATTTGGGCGGCATCCAGAAGATACTGTAGCGTTACCTCCAGTCACAAATGAAAG